TATATTTACATTTTACCCAACCCTAACAATACTTTTCATTTTTAAATATACCTTTAGTTTAACAAATAAAAAAGATTTAAGAATGTAAATCTGAACTTATAAGTGTTCCAGCTTTTTTGATTTGAAGAAATTATTATTAATTTCAATTCAAGGAATTCTTTCAAAATACTTATGAAAATCTTATTATAAATCTACGCATATATTCAAAAATTATTTAATATTAGATAGCCTGATATAATTGAAGATAAACTATGTTGTTACTTTAATGAGTAATGAATGGATGATTCTTTTTAGATAAAAAAGAAATACATTAAATCTTTTTATTAATTTAGTAAAAAACAATAAAATCTTTGACTATAAGGTGGACGAAATAATTAATTGGATAGCAACAACTGGTATTAAAAAAAGCAAGTAGTATATTTTGTATTGATTATTTTGTTTCATAAAAATATTATGAGTCCAAAAGTGTGGTGTTGAAAAAATAAAACTTAATATATAGATATAGCAATTATATAGAAAAGTATAAATATAATAGGTACACTGAGTAGAAATCTTTTAGAGTATTAATGTTTAAGGAGTAATGTTATTGCAGAATTAATTACAGTCTTTCTTATAAAAATAACCCAGATTTGTAATATAAAATGCTATTATAGTAATTATGTCGTAATTTTTGAAAATATCTATATTCAAAAAGAATCTAATTTAATAAAAGATTTTATACGATATGTGAATCATTTATATTTACTTCCATATTGGCCATAGTTAAATCTTATAGAACATATATGGAGTAAACTGTTATGTGAAGAAATTATATTTTAATCCTTTCATGGTCAATTGAGTTTTACATGAAATAATACTTACAAAAAAATGAAATCTCCATCAAATCAAATATTATTCATTTATTATTTTAATGGAGTACTTTATAGTTTAAAAATTAATTTTTGTTTTAAGAAAGTAATAAATAGTAAATTATTATTAATTATATTTATTGATGAGACATATCATAATTCATTATTATTAATAAAGGTCCAGCCTCCCAAATGGGCTTTGGATTCATCGACAATACTTTGCATATCAAATACATTTCCATCAATGTGAGTATTTATTCGAATTTTTCTATTAGGTTTTGGCAAGGGAAGCTCTCTATTAAAAACAGTTTCCCAATCAACATCCTAAAAGTATTGATGAGCTTTAATTTCTTCTGAGTCTCCTTTTCCAGAGCCTAAGCGTTTAGCAGGATTTCTTTGTAATAACTAAAAATAAAAGATTAATAGTTACTGCTTTTAAAAGATTTCTAGCTTCGAGCGAAATGTAAGAAGGTATTTTTAGTTAAGCGTTTTCAATGTTATAGAATAACTCTTCTCTATTATTAGCATAATAAGGAGGCAACCCGACCAAAAGTTCATACATTACAACACCTAATAAATACCAATCAACTGCCTTTCCATGTCCAGATCTTTTCAACATCTCTGGTGCAAGATAAGCAACAGATCCACAAAATGATCTTGCTCCAGTGTTTGGTTCTAAAATACCTTCTTTAGATAATCCAAAATCTGTTAACAAAGCATGTCCTTCACTATCTAATACAATATTATCTGGTTTTAAATCCCTAAAAATAATATCTCTTTTATGTAGATCTTCTAAGGCTAGAACAATCTCACACAAATAGTTTTTAACTATGTTTTCTGGAAGTCTCTTTTATTTTTATAAGACTTCTCCTAAATCCCCTCCAGGGCAATAATCTAAAATCATGAATAACTTGTCTTATGTTTAGAATGCAAACCTAAGTTTAACAATAAATGGATGGGAAGTAATCGATAATACATTTCTTTCGGTTAGAGCATATCTTGTCAAGTTATGTTCTAACATAATATTAAAATTTTACTCATTATTCTATTTTTATGAAGTACTTTCATGGCATATAACTGATTACTTTTTTAGACTAAATAGACTTCTCCAAAGCTACCTTTACCAATCAATCCAATAACTTAAAATTATTGAGGACCTATTTTATCATCTTCCTTGTTTTTAATTGAATCTGAATTTGTTGAGACTGTAGTTGTTAATTATTATTTTGATGAATGAGTTGAATTAATTTTATTTAATCTTTCTTATTTAATATCTTATTGAGTACGATTGTTAGGAGATGATGATTATTTATTTACATTGATTAGGTTTTTGCAGGAATAACTGGTTAATTATATAGGAGTTTAATTAGAGAGTTAAGTTGTTTATTATTATTGTTATTATTATGAATTTATTTAGCCTCGTTTATTCTGAAACATTTTCAAGATTACATCATTTTATGTGTTTTATATTTAGACCATATTCATCTTTTACTCTAAAATCATTAAAAAATTATACGTTATTTTTTACAATCTTCATTATAATTTCTAAATAATTATTAAATATCTTCATTAACAGCATAAAAATCAGGAGTTTTATTTTCTTTGTTATTTTTAAATTAAATTGATTGTCTTTTCAACAGCAATTACACTATGGATTTTTAATTATTTTTGCATGCGTAATGCAAAGATGTATTACCCAAAGAATCTTGATAATTTATATCTGCTCCAGCATTCATAAGAATCATAAATACTTCTTCTTAACCACTAAATTAAAAAAAGATTATTACTGAATGGCTGCTAAAATAAGAGGAGTCATAAATTCCTTATTAGGCAAATCAATAGGAATTTATTTAAATATTAAAGCAGAAACTAATTGAGCATTTCCATTCTTTGCTGAATAATGCAAAGCTGTATTATAGAATAAATCTTTAGATGTTAATGATGCTCTAAGTTCTGGATTTATCTTTTGTCTTGGAGGTAATTTAACTAAAAATAGTTTTTAAGTTTACGTATGTTATGAACAAGTGTTGGTTCCAAAAGTTAAAGACAACCTCCAGTATTATTGTTTTTGCTTTCCTTTATAAACCATTAGTTTAATTATTTTTTAATATCTTATAATTCTGTAGTTCTTGGTGATTATGCTTCTACAGTTTTTGTAATTCCTTAACTGGAAATCGGGATTTTCTGTTCATCTGCTTGACTTGTTTATCTTTTTGAACCTGATACTTTCCTATTTTAAAAAAATGGCAATAGTTTGTGTTATGAATGAGAACGATCAGTCGATGATTTGGTCTGCTATTTTAACTATGAGACAGGTTTTGGAGTCATAATTTTGGAAGTATTGGATTAGGATTTGGCCTGACTTAATCTACGATTATTAGCATCTTAAATTTGCTTTAATTTATCCAAATATTCTTATAGTGTAGGTTTGCTATTGTTGTTAATATTCATTTTTTGGATTTCTGATTATTTAATAATATAAAATTCAAATTTTTAACATTAACAAAAATGAAAGTGATTCAAAATCCAACTCAGTATTTCTTCGAATAATCTAATAATCCATCTGATGAATATTTAGATAAGATTAATGTGTTTATTGGAAAATTGACTAATCAAAAATAGTGTCTTTTATGCAAACAAGATTACAATATCAAAGATAGATTACCAAGAATACTTATTCATTGTGGACATACTATATGTACATAATGTTTAGGAAATTTCTATAGGTTATTATAATTAAATTAATGAGTTTTAGAAATAGAAGAGTACGATGCCCACTTTGTTTGAAATTAGTAAAACATCTTGATTCAATTGAAAGATTACCTGTATCAAAATTTAATTGATAATCTAGATAAATCACACAATTTTTACAAAGATGGCTGAAGAAATTAATAAAAAGAGCAGGTTACATGGAGGAACTGATATAATAGATCCATAATAATATTTGTTTACCTAATTTCAACAATCAGCAGTCTAAGCATAAAAAATAAGACAATAACAATAAAATTAATATCCTTAAATTGACCCTGATTCAGGATTAGAATTTTGTGAATTTCATAATGACAGAGTAAAACATTTCTTTTGCATGAAACATAAAGTTACTTGTTGCAGAGTATGTTCTGATATGATTCATTAAAAGAAGGTATTCACAATCTATAATCTGAAAGGATTGCATTGTCGTTGATCTTTATGAAATTGAGGATGTTCCAGCATTCTTAAATGAAGCCTATAAATTAAATCAAGAAAATAATTGTTAAAATTAAAATATTGAATTCTTACAAGGTATAGTATTTTTTTAAATAGATGATGACAATAATTTTAATGATTATGATTTAGATGGAGAATTAACTCAAAATGAAAGTCTAAAAAGCTTATGATTATAATTAATTATATATTAACCATTAAAAATAAAACTAATCCTTTACTTTTAATTATAATGAAATATGCAATTTAAAGATGTTATTATAATCCTGATAAAATTTTATCTTCTGTTAAGATTTTACATTCTATTCGACTTCAAATTTTTTAGACATTTTTTTTATTATAAGAAAATTATAATAATATAATACATACAAAGTGATTTGACATTAGTTTTAAATTATATATAAGTTATTAAAAATTAATTTAATTTTTGGAATATTACTTGAAACCAGATATATACTTATATAAACATAAGGCTTAATAAATATTATTGTTAAATAAAATCTTTTGAAAATTAGAATTTATATTTCTATTTCATTGGTACTATTTTAGTTTGTTTTTTATTTAATTTTTATTGATTGATTATATATATTAATTATATTTAATATATCTCTCATTTTTTACACTTACAAACTTTTCCCTTTTTTTGATTATAGCCAGTTCCACCACATTTATAACATAACCCAGCATGTTTATAACAGTCTTTACAGTATTTTTGTTTACCTTTTTTCATTATTTTTCCAGTTCCATGACAACTAAACTTAAAATTATTTCATTACTCATGGCAATTTGGATTAAATTTAAGTTACACTACAGTTACCTATTATGGTGGATATCCAGGTTAAACAGGATAACCAGGTTAATGTGGGTAACCTTACTATGGTGGATATCCAGGTTAAAGAGGATAACCTGGTTAAGGAGGATAACCTGTTTATGGTGGATATCCAGGTTAAGGAGGATAACCTGGTTAAGGAGGATAACCTGGTTAAGGAGCATAACCATGTTATGGAGGATAACCAGGTTAAGGAGGATGACCTTATTATGGTGGATATCCAGGTTAAGGAGGATAACCAGGTTAGGGAGGATAGCCTTATTATCCTGGTTATTATGGATAACTAATTATTAGGGTTATTTAGGGTACCCTTATGGCTATCCATCCGGATTAAATTCAATTATAACGTGTAATTCTCCAGATGATTTTCCTTTATACATCAAAGGGAGGGCTCCTTAAAATTATCTTGTCTGTTCAACTTAAGCAATAGGGAATGAAGCTTAACCAATTAAATCATTTTTTGAGCCTTAATCGTACTGAATAAAATAATAGATTTACATCCCAAACTTCAAATTCAATTAAGTTTTCATACGTTTTTCTGAATGTTATAACATTATTCCAAACAGGAGTTTTGCCAGCTTCATTAGCGACAGATGTATTTTAATTTTAATTTCCCATTTTAACAATTACAAAGGGATCCTAATATTTTTGTTCATATATAATATAGTACCATCTTTCCAAATATTTCAGTATCTTTTCTTAAGTTAGCCTTAAATGGCCTAATGATTAATGTTCCTTACATTTATAATAATGAATTGATGTGTCATTAAGATTAATATTTATTTGCAATAATCATGAATCACAATAATTTGAACATGAATGTAGGAATAATAATAATGAATTGAAATGTGTTATCTGTTAATAATTATATTATTAATATAATTAATAATTGTCATTTGACAGTGGTTGTAGGGACTCCATCTCCCAAAGCTTTAACTTTTTCCATTAATGAATCATCAACAACAGTACCATCTACATTTTTTAAGGTGTTTATTCTTTTAAGAACAAGCAATTTAGGATCATCTTTCTAGTTTTCATAGATAGGATTTCCTTTTTTGTAAAAATTAGAGAAATACCTACAAAAAGAACATTGGCAATTTCGGGAAGATCTTTCAATTTATCAACCTCATCCCAAACCTTGATTCTATTATTACCAATATAGAGTGTATGCAATTTAACACATGGTTGTANTCATGGCAATTTGGATTAAATTTAAGTTACACTACAGTTACCTATTATGGTGGATATCCAGGTTAAACAGGATAACCAGGTTAATGTGGGTAACCTTACTATGGTGGATATCCAGGTTAAAGAGGATAACCTGGTTAAGGAGGATAACCTGTTTATGGTGGATATCCAGGTTAAGGAGGATAACCTGGTTAAGGAGGATAACCTGGTTAAGGAGCATAACCATGTTATGGAGGATAACCAGGTTAAGGAGGATGACCTTATTATGGTGGATATCCAGGTTAAGGAGGATAACCAGGTTAGGGAGGATAGCCTTATTATCCTGGTTATTATGGATAACTAATTATTAGGGTTATTTAGGGTACCCTTATGGCTATCCATCCGGATTAAATTCAATTATAACGTGTAATTCTCCAGATGATTTTCCTTTATACATCAAAGGGAGGGCTCCTTAAAATTATCTTGTCTGTTCAACTTAAGCAATAGGGAATGAAGCTTAACCAATTAAATCATTTTTTGAGCCTTAATCGTACTGAATAAAATAATAGATTTACATCCCAAACTTCAAATTCAATTAAGTTTTCATACGTTTTTCTGAATGTTATAACATTATTCCAAACAGGAGTTTTGCCAGCTTCATTAGCGACAGATGTATTTTAATTTTAATTTCCCATTTTAACAATTACAAAGGGATCCTAATATTTTTGTTCATATATAATATAGTACCATCTTTCCAAATATTTCAGTATCTTTTCTTAAGTTAGCCTTAAATGGCCTAATGATTAATGTTCCTTACATTTATAATAATGAATTGATGTGTCATTAAGATTAATATTTATTTGCAATAATCATGAATCACAATAATTTGAACATGAATGTAGGAATAATAATAATGAATTGAAATGTGTTATCTGTTAATAATTATATTATTAATATAATTAATAATTGTCATTTGACAGTGGTTGTAGGGACTCCATCTCCCAAAGCTTTAACTTTTTCCATTAATGAATCATCAACAACAGTACCATCTACATTTTTTAAGGTGTTTATTCTTTTAAGAACAAGCAATTTAGGATCATCTTTCTAGTTTTCATAGATAGGATTTCCTTTTTTGTAAAAATTAGAGAAATACCTACAAAAAGAACATTGGCAATTTCGGGAAGATCTTTCAATTTATCAACCTCATCCCAAACCTTGATTCTATTATTACCAATATAGAGTGTATGCAATTTAACACATGGTTGTAGACCATCAAGTCTTTCAATGTAATTGTAACTCAACCATAGTTCTTTTAATGTTTATCCTATTTCTTCTAATCCAGCTATTTTCTTTATATTATTTCTCGATAACGACAGGATTTCTATTTGTCTTAAACCAGGAAGATTGACCATTTTCTCTATTGCATTTGAAGAAAGGGATAAACGTTTAACTTTAGCTAATGTATTTAAAACTGGAGGATCCAATTTGTCAAGAGGTGGATTTTAGAATATTAATCTAATGTCTTCTGCTTCAGATGGTTGTTCACCTGGATGATCTTGCTCCCAATTTTATAGAGCTTTTGCACAAGTTGTCTTTGCCATTTAATAATTTATATAAATTTATTATAATTTAATAGTTCTAAAATCTGTTTAAATAGGTTAAATTATTTATGCTTATGAATACTTATGTACTCTAAAATAATTGAATTAGATATTCAAGTATTTATTTAAGTATTAAATAGGATTATGAAATATCTGATTTATATATGTATTGTATATTTTAATTAATATAGATACAGATTCATTTATACTTTTTATTTTTAAGAAAATTATTATTTATTAAACAAATGATTTTTATTTATATGAATCCATTTATATCATGAAAAATGTAGTTTAAGCATTGAAATTAAGTTAATTTATTTTTCATATTTTCTAAGCATAGCTCGAGTTTCGAACTTTGGAGCACAATTTATATTAGAAAAATTGGTTATTAAATAATATATATATATCTGTATTATAATCAATAAGTGTTCCTAATAGAGAGATAATACTTTGATTGGCTATGTGTAAATATTATTGAATAGTTGATTAATATAAATTAAACAAGAATTTATTATTTTATTTATTAAATAATACTCTTTTTAGGAGTAAAGAAATATAAGGTAGGTATGGTTTGATTGTAAGAATATTGCTTAATATTCTTTTAATATTCCTATATACGTTTATATTAACCTATTACTTTATATTACTTTAGGAATGAGCGAAGATAATTAATTGAATGTTGATAAAAACTAAAACAAAAATAATCTTGAGAAAATAATAAAGTTAGATAAAAAGAATGGGAATTTTGATATTTTTGATAAATATTCTAAGTAAGGTCAATTTTCAATACGAATAGACGGAAATTAAAAGTTAGAACCTCTTAGAATAATTCACACATTAACAGTTCATATTAAAATGAATACATTTTGTGTTATTTTTGGAGACATATTAATTAAGTATACTTCAAAAAAATTGATGAACCTGAATATGAACGACTTGATTATCTCAAGGCCATCAATTAAGATATCATATACACCTAATTTCCTGTGAAATATGCAGATTATAAGTTTTATTAAGCAAGATAAATCTTAAATAAGTAGTTTTTATCATCAGAAAATGCAACTTATTTGGAAAATATTTAAAAACATATTAGGCTAAGTGGACTTATTCATAAAGCTAAAGATTTAAAAATTCCTTAGATTGATAAACTATATTATATGAAATAGAAAGCTATGGTCAAATTTAATTAAAAAAACATAAGGTATAAATTTATTAATAAAAGTTTGTTGATTTAAGAAAATGCTTAATTAGATAAACTATTAGATAAGTTAAATGAACAAATTGAATTAAGAATTGGTCAGAAGGATGAATTATTCTAGTAGCTTTAAGAGTATTCTGCAGAATTACAACAAATCAACAAATTAAATAAAATAGATTTATAAAATTTGAATTAAAAAATTAAATCAGAATAACCATTAAATGTCTTTGGCACTTAAGTTCATATTTATAAGTAAAAACGCAATAATAATGGACTCAATAAAAATCAAATTATCTACAATAATGAAGCCTTACTCAACTTTTTGAGAAAGAGTTTAGAATAATTGGATTATAGATAAACTGCTGAATCTATTGTTAAAGTAATAAGTACAACTCATTCTTCAAATGGATATATATTTTGTGTAGCATTTGAATAAGCCTTAAATTCAAACAATGTTAATATTGAAGAAGATTTAATGTATTAATTAGATAAGTTAAGAGATACATCCTTATTTAAGTTTTACAATATTCCCCAAAAAACTAAATATTCCCATATCTCTTAAAATGTATTTATATTTATAAATTAAAGTTTATTGGAATTAACTAAGTGTAACATAATAGATAGAAACCAAATCCTTTAATAAACAAAAATCTTACAAAAGAGTCTAAAATAACATTTTAAAATGAGAATGATTCTAATTTATAGCATTATGAGGCATGTCATCATTGTAAAATGCTATTTAGAGAGGAATACTTAATATCTTGTAATTATAGAAGTAGTACTATGGGATTACCTATTATAAATTCATAAATGACAGATACCTATTTATTCAATTAATGTATAAATTTCAATAAATAATTTAAGTGGATGAAGAAGGAATAACAAGTCGAAGACAAGTACCTAACAGAAAGAAAACAGCTTATAGTATATATTCAAAGAAAAGTATCATATTTAATAAATAATATAGATGGAGAATTAATATGTCAAAGGAAATTCTGTAGAATGTGTTTAAAGTAGAACTATGATCTTAAAATTGAAGATATAATGTAGAAAACTGATTGGGTTTGTCCCTTTTGTTAAGTACATCCAAAATATCAAGTATCTAGGCCATTTGTTTTTGTTCAAGATGTCAAACGAATGATATCATAATTAAATTGAAAGATCTTTATACAATTTGTGGAGGTGATCTTGAGTAATTAACTAAAGATTCAATTTTTGAGAAATATGTAAGACCATTAACTGATGAATAATTATATAAAAGGAAACCAAGTTAATTATAAGTATATTATCTAATTATTTCATAGAGAACTGGTTATTCAATTGTAAAATAGTAATTGAAGAATTTTAAAGATATGCAAACAATAAGACTTGATTTTGAGAATCTTAGATTATTATGTTCTTAGATAATGAGAAGAGAGAAGTTGAAATGGAAATTATTAGAATAAGATATACTGATGTGGAATGAGGATGTCAAATAATTATAAATAAAGAATAATAAATGTACTTAAAAGAATAAAAAATTAAAATCTAAAACTAAAAAAATAGCAAAGAAATTATAGAAGTAAATACTATATATAATTTATAAGATAAGAGGATATTGATTAAATTCAAGAATTTTAATCATCATCTTCTTCTAGTAGTAGTGAATATCATTTAAGTAGTGAATTTGAATCTGAAGAAAATCAAAATGAGATATAATAGAAGAAATAAATAACTTAATAAATTATGAATTCAAATAAAAGGTAAAATTAGAAATAGAAATCAATTAAAAGAATATAATAAAATTATAAGTCTTTTCCAGTTAAAAAACTCAAGAGAGAAGTAGCTTATCTTTTATAATATCAGAATACTAATATTTAAAATTAAACTCATAAAAAAATCAAATAGGATCAAAAATAAAATTCATTCAAGAAATGATAATAAATTATTAGTATATAATAATAATAGTTATATGAATTATCAATCAACAAAGTAAACATGTCTATTATGCATTTAATGTACATTATATACAGATATAATGTTTATTACAATTACCTTTAATTTAAGCATCCCATAATGTCATAAGACATTGAGAACATTAATTATTATTATTTATCATATCATCCTGAGTAAAGTGTCTTTCTCCACATTAATATTCTATTATTTTTCTTAATTAAATAAATTAGGACTCTAAATAATTAGGCACATGAGATCCAATAAATTTAGGAGGCCAATTTGGATCCATTAATAAAGTAGCAGCATTTGGTTCTACATCTTAAATTTTATGTTATTTAATCTTTCTTTCAGCAGATGAAGGTCTGGCTTTTTAAGTTTGATTTTTTAAAGTAATCAATCTTCTTATTAATTTTGCATTACATCCTAAAATTGGACATTCTATAGAGTATTTATTTCTAAAATAAATTTTTAAACAATGTTCACAATATCTATGTCTACAAAAAATGTTATTTGCTAAATCTACTTTTGCTATCATACAAACTGAACATGTTTTTAATGTTATTTATATATCTAATTCTCCATATTATACTTCACCAGAATAATTGATAAATCCATATTATTAAAATTCTTCTACAATATATACCAATTCTTTAGATCCTTTTCCAATTTCTTTTGGATAATAATTTTTTTTATAATTCATTCTTACAAATCTAAATCCAGCCTTCACAATTAACATCTTTTTACTAAGTTATTTATAAGCTAATGCAAATCCTTCTAAACATATTGATATTTTTTTATAAAATATTGATATTGCTATATGAGGACTTAATCCTGCTTTTAACTTAAAAATCAATCCTCTTAATTAATATACTGTATGACGAAAATAATAAATCTTTAGAGCTTCCTATTTATGAAATGGATTTTTCTCTAAATATTCATAAATTTCAGTCAACATTAAAATTTTCTTCCAAATTGCTAATTATTCAATTAACAGTAAAAATTTTGCCGACTTTGAATTTTTAAATACTCTTAAGTAGCCTTTATTGAAATTATATTCAATTGTCAATTTAGTCACTGGCACTATAGAATATACACTGAGTACCATTCTTTTTCTGTTATTATTTTAATTAATGTCTAAAAAATAAACAAATGATAATGCAGATAGATATAAAGGTGATGCTGGAAATTTCCAATCCTTAGAAAGTGATGAAGGTCCTGGACCTATGAAATGTAATACATAAAATCCATTATTAGCTATTGAAGGATGGATTTTGATTGTTAAAGGCATTCATGAAGAAGCTTAAGAAGATGATGTGTTTGATGCTTTTAGTAAATATGGACCTATAAAAAATCTACATTTGAATTTAGACAGAAGAACTGGATTTGTTAAAGGGTATAATACCTAATAATAACTTTTGATAGATATGCATTAGTTGAATTTAATGAATATGCTCATGCATCTGATGCTATTAATGGAATTAATAAATCAGAAGGTATTTGTGGTAAAAAAGTTCAAGTTGATTGGGCATTTAAAAAGCCTCCTAAGAAAGGAGCATTAAAATAAGTTAAAAAATAATGATTTAGAATTTATATGGTTTTTAATAAATAAATAAGAAGTAGAAACATTATAATAAAATCATAGTTTTTGTAAAATATTGATATTTACTTTAAGTTCTTAATAAATTTTCGATTTATTATAAATTATAACAAATATCTAGTATAAAATTAATTCATTATTCCAATTAATATATAAATCTCAAGTAATACTAAATTTAATTATAATTAAGATATTTTGATTTCTATTTTGAGTAAATGTATTAATATATCATTATTAATCGATGAACAATCACAGCGATTCTAGGTCATTCTCTAATAGATTTCGACCTAAAAAGGTAGTAGAATCCATTTAAGTATTCTATTTATTCTTTAGCCTTCTTCTAAAAATAGGGTTCTTATGAATCATGTATTCTTCTTCTAAATCAAACAGGGTTCTACGAGAGGTATGCTTAGAACTTTGATCTTAGTCAGAATACTCGAAAGTGGGCGTAGAGGGAGTTTATGGAGTAGATGGCAAATTGAGTGTATTATATGTTAAATTTTGCATTGTAATTATAATTATTAATTATATATAGAATAATTTAAATTCAAATTATTGGAATGAAAGAAAGGATTATTAGAACAAATTAAAACAAAAAAAGTTTGTAAACTTAATCCTTATTTTTATAATAAGGATTATTTTAAATATTTTTGTTTCTCATATTAGATAATTAACATTGATTGATATACTTATAATAACAATTAATACAGAATGATATTTATGATCTCAGAAGTATTCAATTAAATAATTATCCTTTAAAAAAAAATTAAATTATTTACATTGTCAGATAATAATATTTTATAATCACAATATTATTTTAATGAATATTATTAATCATACAAAGTAAATTGATTTGATAAAAGATAAAGAATTTTAGAATCATATTGCATATTGATAGTTATTAGAAATGAATATAATTAGATTTATATTTTTAAGATGTGGAGAATCATTTAAAATTAAGATACTTGTATCAATATTCTTCATATTTGAGTTAATATAATATATATTTAATTTGAACTTTATATTTGTATTGATATTCATTATATCATAAATTCTTCAAGAATTTCTCTTCATATAACTTGATACTTTCTTCTATAATTCTGTATGCATCTTCTTTTCCTTTGAACTCTTCTACAACTACATGTTTGTGTTCTAGTTTCTTGTAATCTTCAAAGAATCTTTAAATTTCTTAAGTAGTATGGAAAGGAATATCTTTCAAATCGTTGACACCTGAATATGCAGCATCGTTTTTGGCCACTGCAATTATCTTATCATCGATTTCTCCTTAATCAACCATATGCATAACACCAATAACACGAGCCTCGACTAAACACATTGGCTCTATTTCAACTGAACATAACACTAAAATATCTAAAGGATCTTAATCATCACAATAGGTTTATGGGATGAATCCATAATTTGCAGGATAATGAACAGCTGAAAATAAGACTCTATCTAATTTTAATAGTCCACTGTCTTTATCTAGTTCATATTTAGCTTTACTGCCTTTTGTAATTTCTATGATAGCATTCACAACTCTATTTTTATATTATTTTATACTTTGGACTATCATTACCAAAATGAACATGATGCCATGGATTCTTGGCATACTTTTAGATCAAGTGAGTGGATTATTAATGATTCATGTAATTATCAATAAATAAAATAATTAATATATTAGTTATCCAAATAATAAAACATAGATTTATAATATGAATTTAATGAGATATATAAATTTATTACTAATCTTTGCAAAGGTTCTATTGAATAATTGAAATGGTATGAATAATATATAGTACTGGATTAGTTTGAAACTTCTAAAAGATGATCTCTAAAAAATATTACTAAAACTATTTGGGAAATCAAAATATAGTTATCACATACATTTCTTACTACAAAATACTGTAAAATAATTTGACTAATAATTTATTATAGAAAATTGAGCATTATGTAATTAAATCAACCTAAATTAACTATAAAAAATTACATTTCTTATATCAAAAACTTTATTAATAAAATATTAAAGCATCTTATTATAATTAATAAAGATTCATGATCTCTAACCGAATATGATTGTATTAATGCTTTAAAACCTATTATTATTTACATTTATGAATTGTTTTAAATTTCTAATTATACCTTCATTATATTAACATTATAAATACAGATCCTGGTATAATGCTTATTTTCTATTAATGATTAAGGTATACCATTATTTAATTTAATATGTTTAGATAATCTTATAACAATAATTAGCTATCCCATATGAAATCTTTTAAAAATAGCTGTAATTGAAAGCCTAAATATAAATTTATTTAAAGCACTTAATTTAAAAATACAACATCCAATTATTTTATTATTATCCATCACTGTATTGAAAATTAGAGATCTAAATGGAAAGCAGCAGGAATAATTAAATATTTGTTTATTTTTTATATATAAATTCATCAATAATATAATTGAGATATTTAATATTTAAATTATTAAACTAACTCCAACTAGCATAGAAAAAGTAATATCTCCTCCTTCTTCTTTCATATCCCTCTCATATATTACAAAGTGTTGATTTTTTTATTCTTAGTGAATACGTCGAATGATGAATATGCTTGGAATTAACATTAATAGGATGGTAATAATTTTCTTTTTTGATTTATCTCCCTCTTATAGAACTTCCTCGAAATCAATTCTTCCCGCCATCTATACCACCAGAGAAGGATATCAGAAATAAAAATTGCAAATTGCACATCGGAAACCTTCCTCTTTAGATTACAGAAGAGACATTACATCGTGTGTTCTCCAAATATGGTTAAATTAAAGAAGTTAAGATCATTCGCAAAAATAGTTAAGGGGTTTAGTTTTTTATATATATTTAAATAAGTAACCACTAAAAGATTACTGCTATGGGTTTGTTCTTATGTGTGATGGTGATGGAGCTTAAAATGCTGTCACAGAGTTGAAATAAAACAGTCCTTTGGGTACTACATGGACAGTTGCTTTCAGTAAAGATAAAAATGATGTATGCTTCTACGTTTTTGTATTCTTTTCTTAAGGATTCTGCTGGTGCCGGTCATTAGAAATCTGATAAAAAGAAGGATGATAAGATTAAAAAGAAAGAGAAATCAAAAGAGAGATTAAAGAAAGATAAATCTAAACCAAAAAAGAAAGTTGTATTTTTTAATTAATAAAAGAAGAAGAAATCAGAATCATCGTCCTCATCTGATTCTTCAAGAGCAAGATCTGCTAAAAAATAAAAAAAATAAAAAAAGCGTAAACATTCTAGTTCATCTGAATCATCTTCTTCTAAATTGCCACCTAGAAGTGCTTTAGTTAAAGTTGAGAATAAGGATATAGCAGATATAGTATTTTCAGGTGGCGATTTATAGTCTCATCTAATTTTTTAATAAGTATGTTAATGTCTAAAAAATAAAGTAGCCATAGTAACAATATCAAATAACTCATCATGTATATGTAAGAGAGTTGTTTATATCTGGGATACCTCAATCTAAGATCTCTGCTGACATACAAAGGATCTTTTCTGCTTATGGTATTGTAGAGAGAATTGATATTGTTCCTAAGTAATTAGTAAATTACGCATATGTAAAATTCAAGAGATTGGAATCAGTCCTATAAGCTATGCAAAACTCATAATTAATAGCAGAATAATTGGAGAGTGCAGGATAAGTTAAAATATATTAATCTGATCCATTTCGTAGAGTTTAAATTGTAGGCAATGCTGAAGATAGTGAAAGAGTAAAATAATATTATAAATTAATAGGAAGAAGAAATGCTTCCAGTTATGTTTATAGGTTTTCCTCCAAATTAAAATTATGTTTTGGATGAAAAGTTCTTGAAAAAAATGGCTGAGAAATTTGGAGGTGAAGTAAAAGGAATTTAACATTTTTAACCAGATTCTCCTTAATTGAGATCTTATGTTTTAATAGAATTCTCCTTTTTAAAAGATTGTAAAAAAGCCAGAAGAAAATTTTGTAGATATAAAATACAAATTTTGGGTGATAAAAAATGTGATGTAGCTATCTTATCAAATTATCCAACTAATCTATAAAATAAAAGATAAACCAATATGTTTATGTAATAATCATTTGGAATGGGTAATATTATCATTTTATAATTAGATTATATGTAAGTTAATTAATAGATACCTATGCATCAATAAATGATATAAAGATAAATGCCATAATAAGTATAGATGTTAGCACCCTTTCAAACTTAATCTCTACCTTAATAACATATACCTCCTCCTAATATACCTAATATATATGACTATAATTAAATGCCTATTTTATATCCTCAATAATAATAAAACTAATAGCAAATGATGTATATGAAAAATCAATAGCAATAATTGTAAATTCCTGCTTAAACTCCTGTTTAACCTCAATTTAGACCATAACCACAACCAGTACCTTAAACTTAATAGCCTCCACAATTATAATATTACTAATAGCTCAATCCTTAACCATAGGCTCAAAGTTATTTACCATAACAATATCCTATGGATATGATTATCCCTCCTCCTACTATGAAATAAGATGAAATCAACTCACCATTTTGGTGTGGTTATATGAATAGAGGCAAATAACATCGTGTTGGAATTGATGCAAGGATGAATAAAACTAATATGGATATTAAGAAAAGTACGATTAATTATAAATTTAGTCAACTTACCATCTAATCTAGAAATGAGTTATAAATGCACTTATTAAGATGCTTATTAAAGAGCAGGATAAGATCAATCAGCCATTTTAATATTTAGTCCTGCTTAAGATACTGATGTTCCAAAATTTACTGAATATGTTCAATACTTAAGAAATAAGGTAATAATTAAATGCATTTTAGTAACGAGCTGGCGTAATTCAAAGTGAAACATTCACAATTTATGTTATTCCTCCAGGAGTATCAGAGGCATAACTAATTTGCAATATCAATTAATAAGAAATGATAGCTATTTATTGTCATAAGGAATAAAAATGATAGATTTATTGATAAATAATAAATATAAAATTACAATCAAAAATTTTATTAATTTTATTCTTATTTACTCTCTTTTATTCTATTCAATATTTAAATTATACCTTATAATATTGAATCAGATTCAATTAAAAAAGTATAAAATTAACCTTAATTTAGTTTAATGAAATAAAGAATAATTGATTTAATTTAATATTTATTATTCTATTTACTAAAGGTTTTTTATATAATTTAAGTAAATAGTCTTAATTTTATTAAAATAAAGTATAAATATGATTAACATTAATAAAATTAAATAGATTTTTGTTCTTTACATAACAACTAAATATATGTATTATATAATAAGAATACCTCAAATATACTAAATTAATTAGTATTGAATAAAAAACCATTTTTTTTTCCAAAAATTTTCACTTTTTATAAATGTTATGTAATTAATTTGTTTATATAATGTTATTAAAAAGAAAATTATTATATTTATTGCTAGAAATTATTTTATAGAATGATAAAATTTAATA